TAAGTAAAGATTTCAACAGTTTGCTCCCACACAGAAACATAAAGTGAAAAATAATAGATGATTTTTTAAATGATGATGAAATCAGATCAGACCTATTGTCATGTTTAATCCCAGTGAGAGTCAAGTTGGGAATTGATAATTTCTTTTCTTTTTTTTTTTTTTTTACAGAAGATCAGTTTAGTATACATTAAGTAAAGATTTCAACAGTTTGCACCCCCATAGAAACACAAAGTGAAATATACTGTTTGAGTACTCGTTATAGCATTAAGTCTCAATGTACAGCACATTAAGGACAGAGATCCTACATGAGGAGTAAGTGCACAGTGACTCCTGTTGTTGACTTTACCAATTGACACTCCTGTCTATGGCATCAGTAATCTCCCTATGCTCCAGTCATGAGTTTCCAAGGCTATGGAAGCCCCTTGAGTTCTCCAACTCTTATCTTGTTTAGACAAGGCCATGGTCAAAGTGGAGGTTCTCTCCTCCCTTCAGAGAAAGGTACCTCCTTCTTTGAAGACCTGTTCTTTCCACTGGGATCTCACTCACAGAGATCTTTCATTTAGGTTTTTTTGTTTGTTTGTTTTGTTTTGTTTTTTTGTTTGTTTGTTTGTTTTTGCCAGAGTGTCTTGGCTTTCCATGCCTAAAATACTCTCATGGGCTTTTCAGCCAGATCAGAATGCCTTTAGGGCTGATTCTGAGGCCAGAGTGCTATTTAGGACATCCGCCATTCTATGAGTCTGCTGAGTATCTCGCTTCCCATGTTGGATCACTCTCCCGTTTATTTATTCTATCAGTTAGTATTAGCAGGTACTGAATTTAAATCAGCCATTGTTATATTCTTGTGGCTGAATATTATACAGCAGCATCAAAACATACATATAATTTTAATAATTTTACATTTGTGTAAAATTAGTGTGTTGCCAAAATTAGTGGACTTTAATAAACAATTGATTTTTTAATATATTTTCAGTATTAAAATGCCACACATTACTGTGTATGTTAGAATATCTACTGTTATTTCAAAATGCAAAATGTTTGGATCAGATGTTGGCTACTGTGGTGAAAACAATAAATAGCATGGAACTAGTTGCATTAGAGAATATTGATACATATTTTTGTATACACATATGTACATATATATTTGTTTTAAGAGGACTTAGAGAACTTTCCTTTATGTCTATTAAAGTTACCACCTATTTCTCAGTAATGCCAAAGCTCTCTCCATTATAACTTCTAAAAATCCGTAAGAAACTATATTAGAATGAAAGAACACATCGATTTAAAGCCCATTGTTTATATGATAGAACTTTGTATTATGTCTCAATTGTTGTTGTTGTCATTTTACTGTTATATAAATGGAATGGGTACTATATGTATAAAAATTGGATTTTTCCTCTCTTGAAGTCAAAGGTACTTTTCAGAAAACAACCATATTACCTTTTTCCCTCAACTCCCTCAACCAAGAAGGTTAATGAAGGAAAACTGATTAATTTTCTCCAGATCTTGAGTACTTAATATCTGAAGTACAAAACACAATGAGGAGAATTATCCTCAAGTCTTCTCAATCATAATTGCACTGAACAAATCAGTTTCAGCAAGCATTTACTGAGAACCAATTATGTTCCCTAGATGTGGGGGAGAACTAAATAAAGAGACACAAATTTAGTTGAGAGAGACATGGAAATTCTTAATTAGAATACACAGGGATAGGTGCCATTATGGGTCTGTACACTCTGTAGACAACACTTCCATCATAGGGGAAATAATTAACTCTATTCTTAGGTACCAAAAGAGCATCATCAGTAATACACATCTATATAGGGAAATGTGGTAGCGTTAATGTCTGAGAAACTAAAGTTACATACGATACTGTCTAGTCCAATTCTGTCCTGTTATAAAAAGTCATTAATGCAGACAGGTTGAGTAATGTTCCCAATTTCACGTGTATGTTTATAGGCAAAGACAAAATTAAAATATCCTGCCTTTAAGCTGCTTATTTTTGTTTTTCAGTTTAAAGATAAGCTATAGATAATTAGTGCACCAAAAGCAATCTTTCAATTGTTGAATTTTCATATATGATCCTGAGTGGGGCATCTTGTTGATTCTAACACCAGACCACATAAAATTTTTTGACCTATGAGAACTCAATTGCTAAAAGTATAATGAGAATATGACTATGTTGATAATGTTTAAAGAGTAACTATGATTATTTAGGATTACTATGTCTCCAATTCCATTAATGTGATTTTGCACAAACTCATTCTGTGTCCTCCATATACGAATTTCCATTCTTATGTTCCCATGAAGGGCACATACTTCCCTCATCAGTTTTCCAGTAGCACAGTAAATGGTATTACCTGCCATGCTTCTTCCATCTTTGAGCAACTCCCATTGTAAGGGAATAGTTGTATTTTTTAAAGCAGATATTTCCTCATTTTGATTTCAGAAAGTCTCATCTCTTTTGAGATAAGTCTCATCTCTTTTTGAGAAATTTTATTTACTTATTTTTATTTTATTTGAAGGCAGAGACACAGAGAGAGGTAGATAAAGAGTGATCTCCCAGCCATGCGTTCACCACCCAAATACCTGTAACAGCCATGGTTGGGCCAGGCCAAGCTGGTTCTCAATCTGTTCTGTTTGTGACAAAGACCCAAGTACTTGAGTCATCACCTGCTATCTCCCGTGATGCACATTAGCAGGAACCTATAATCAGGAGCAGAGCAGGGACTCACACCAGAGGAACTCTGATATGGGAAGCAGGTGTCCCAAGAGGTGTTTTAACCACTGTGCCAAACACCTGCTCCTTGCAGGGACTACTTTTAA